CATGTATCGCTCAGCTTGAATAATATAAATTCTCAGATGCTAATAACAGCAAGAGAGCTGCGACAGTGAACCGTATAATATGAGCACATTAGGACATGCGGATTCTGGGCTAACATAAAGAGGTCTATCCGCATCGCATGGTTCAACATGCTCCTGCTTGCCCCAACGGCCAGCACAGTCACTTAAATTGTAAACAACACGACAGTACTGGTCGTTGGGGCAAGCAGGAGCACGCGGGGGGGAGGGGGGGGGGGGGTGCGACGCAGACAGACCTAAGGTTGAACGACATCATCGGTAATCCGGGGCTCGGCATGCTAGACGAAAATCACGAATCCGCGTGATTCCATCTTGAACCGCCTCTCACACGTGACGTGGTCGTCGCACGTGCGCTTCCCTCTTCCGCTCTCTATCTCTCTCGAACGCGGAGAAGAGCCCCGGGTGCCCCGCGTCCTCGTCGGCCGAGCAAATCGTCGACGTCGTCGTCGACTTCCGCGATCGCGTGCTCGACGGGGGGGGAGGGGGGGAGCAACGGCACTCACCTTTCGGGAGAGGCGACTCGCCAGCGGCTCAACGGTGACTCGCGACTTCGCAGCACATTCGGCGGTTAATCGGCCGGTGACGACGCGGACGAGGTTATGCGAGAACGTCGCTCGTGCCGTGGCTCGATCCGCACCCCTGAGGACCGTCCTGCGTGCCGCGCGCGAAGCGGCGGTGGTGTGGTCCCGTCTTAACGCGCCCGTCGCGTGCTACCGTTCCAGTCCTCGCGGGGTCGGTATGCGCCACACGTATATACACGTCAGCTGCGTGACGCCATGGGATCACTCGCACTCGCGTACGAACCGTGCGTGTGTGTGTGCATACGTAACGTAAAATGCCTCGCTTAAACGCGCGCACGGAATCGCGACCGGGCGACCCGGAAGGAAAATGGCCGCTCGCGATTTGACATTTACCGCGAGAAACGAGGAAGAGAGGCTCGCCCTCCCGCTCGGTCTTTTTATAGAGAGCTCGACATTGATTCAATATTTCTGACAGCGTCTATATATGTACTTTGTAATACATAGCGAGTACACACAGAGAGGGAGGAAGAGAGGGAGGGAGGGAGAGAAAAAGGGCTTTCTTGACTGAAGGATAAAATCTATTCCGGTATCGAATCAACCGCGAGGCTTCACCCCCGGGCATTCAATCTTCAATCGTGGCGAAAAGAGAAATGGATAAGGGACGAGAGGGAGGAGTAGACGCAACGTTTCCCCCGTTGCCGCGTGTTTCGCATTTAAATATGGCGCCAATTCCGCGTCGTTCACAGGGCAATAGGGCATAGAGGCAGACTTTGGGGTCTGTTCACAGTATAAGTCCCAGTCTACAATAGAGATTTAAGCCCTAAGCCTTAAGAAATTGACTAATCACAGTCGCGCATTCTACTCATACTTGACCGTGATTGGCCAATTTCTTAAAGCTTAGGGCTTAAATCATCTATTGTAGACTGGGACTAACCAGTATGGGCACTCTCTGTCGGCACCATGGACTTGAAGGACGGAGAGCTTGGTTTGTAGGTGAGGTAAGTGAAGCCGAAGTGGGGAAGGGGATCTAATTTTCGGCTATCTTGTTAGGCGCCATTAGTGCTGCTATCTGTTGTTATTTTAATGTATTATGTATCAAAATCTTATACGGTAAAGGGAAAAAAGAATACTTTATAAATTTATTTTCCTGAAAATAAAACTAATTTATTATAAAAATGTCTTTTACTTATTGTGGTATCTGTAGTTTTTCCAATAAAAAACAACCTTAACCTAATAATACTTCGATAAACCTTTGACTAGTCAAAGGTAGTATTGCATATACTCAAGAGATAGCAGCACTAATGGCGCCTAACAAGATGGCTGAAAGCTAAGTCCCCTTCCCCACCAAGGCTTCAACCCCCCGGCCATAACTCTCCGTCCTTCAAGTCCATGGCCAGCCCCTTCAGTCCCAGTCTACAATAGAGATTTAAGCCCTAAGCCTTAAGAAATTGACTAATCACAGTCGCGCATTCTACTCATACTTGCCCGTGATTGGCCAATTTCTTAAGTCCCAGTCTACAATAGAGATTTAAGCCCTAAGCCTTAAGAAATTGACTAATCACAGTCGCGCATTCTACTCATACTTGACCATGATTGGCCAATTTCTTAAAGCTTAGGCACTGAAATATATACTAAGTCCCAGTCTACAATAGAGATTTAAGCCCTAAGCCTTAAGAAATTGACTAATCACAGTCGCGCATTCTACTCATACTTGACCGTGATTGGCCAATTTCTTAAAGCTTAGGGCTTAAATCATCTATTGTAGACTGGGACTAACTGGAACGCGCGCTAGAGCCGAGCCGTACGTACCGAGAGAGAGCATCGTCGAGTGGCGTTTGTCATTGTCTGGCTTATAGGGTGGTCGAGAGTGGGGACGGAAAGGTACAGTCCGATCGAGAAATTAGCTCGTTGTCAGAGGTTACACGATCTCGCGCAGTTGTGCTGCGCTTCGAGATAACTTTTGGTTCGAACTGTACTAGACAATGACAGACGCCACTCGACGATGCTCTCTCTCGGTACACACGGCTCGGCTCTAGCGCGCGTTCCAGTTAAGCCCGCTGCAGACGATGCTATTTTTCCTGCTGGATTGCTTGCGATTTAGTAAATTACTATCATTGCACCACTCAGCATTCAGGATTCCTAGTAATTTACTAAATTGCAAGCAATCCAGCAGGAAAAATAGCATCGTCTGCAGCGGGCTTTAGTATATATTTCAGTGAGCTTAGGGCTTAAATCATCTATTGTAGACTGGGACTCAGCCGCTCCATGGTTTAGGGCCGACTAGCTGATTCGCCGACACCGGCCAATCCGCGGGCGCATCCTGCGCGGACAGGACCGCGCCCAGCGACCAATCGGGCCGCGCCTCGCCGCGGGCGGTGAGCGCCAATTGGCCGGCGCCGTTCGATCGCGTTCGCCGCTCGAGTTTCCCCTCTCGACCACGAACGGCCGACGGCTCCCGCATCGAGGGGGGACGAGCTCCTCTCGGTTCGAATGATTTATTCGTTTGTTCCACGTATGAAGAGCTGCGAGATACTCGGCGGCCGAGGCGTCGATAAACGTGTCCGTGCTACAGCCGTCGCCGCCGTACGCGAACGGGTGGCCCCGCATCTGGCGCGTCGCACGCAGCACCTCGGGGACGTCGCCGACGTAATGCTCACGAGCGTTCCCACGATTACGCGCGAGCTGCTGAGTTGAGCGCGCGACCGAATCCGGGGAGGGTTTTTTTTTCTAGTGCTACGCGCGACACGACGAAGGACGAAGGACGACGAAGACGGCGGCGGGCGCTGCGCGTGTGACCGAGTGATGTGATGTAAATAAACGCACGTTTGCGTGCGCGATCGGTAAGCCGACAGCTGTACGACTCCCCCCCGCGTCATTTCCGCGGCCGAGGCGCGTTATCGAGATAAGAAATTGTGCGACATATATATACACATATATATATATACATTATATATATATCGACGCGACAACCGTTAGTCGCGCGCGCACGCACACACACATACGCAACCTTCAACGCGCGCGCGGGCGTTCGTTGCAGATCGAGGCTCCCGACGGCGAGGGATTTTCTCTCTCTCTCTTTTTCTCTTCCCCCGACGCGAGTGCGCGCGCGCACGCGTACCGCGTCTCCGCGTGCGTCTCCTGGTGCGCGGGGCCCAGTCACGCTCCCCCCCGGTTGCTCGCTCGCGCGAGGATCGGATCCCAGCCAGCCAGCCAGCCTTTTGGCCTGGGCCGTCGTCGGTCGGCGGTCTCGTGTTTTGTTTCTCGCGCGGAAACGGAAGCGTGTGCGCGTCGACAGTACGATGTTTCGAGCGTCGCGCGTGCCTTCGTGAGGCTCTCCCGGGGAATCTTCGCTCGGTCGCCCTCTCGTCCGTTCTCTCGCCCGGAGGCGAGAAGAAGAAGAGGAGGAGGAGGAAGAAGCAGGGTGATCGGGGACGCGTGGAATCCTCCCCGCAGGCGTGAGAGATAAAGAAGTACGGTCGGAGGACGTCGAGGACATCACTCCTCCCCCCCCCCTCTCTCTCTCTCTCTCTGTCTCTCTCTCTCCCGCCTTGTGAATCGCGCGCGCGGACGCCATCGCAGGATGGCATCGTCCACGGTGGCCGTTCCGTCCGGAGCCACTTCGGTGCCGACGGTCTCAAACGGCGGCGGTGGTGGTGGCGGCAGCGGCGGTGGTGGTGGCGGCGGCGGTGGTAGCGGCAGCAGCAGCGGCAGCAGCAACAGCAGCAGCAACGGCGGCATCGTCGTCGCGACTGGCACCGAGGAAATCGACGGCGGCGACATATTCGGCGAGCGAGGCAACGCCAACGCCGTCGTCGTCGGCGGCTACAACAACGGCGGCGGCAATCCCGGCGATGCCCTGGAGGAGATGGCGTGCGGCAACGGGGAGGCCAGCAGCCAGGGCTGCGCCCTCTGCATGAGCAAGCTGTGCTCGCCCCGGGTGCTCTCCTGCCTGCACGTGTTCTGCGAGGCCTGCCTGGACAAGCTGCTCATGGACGAGGCCGGGGACTCCAAGGTGGGCTCGGTCATCAGCTGCCCGGTGTGCCATCAAGAGACTTCCGTTAGTTCTAAGGGCGCCGCGTCGCTCACGTGCGACTATGTTCTCACCAATATATTGGATATGTCCGCGATCGAGAACATGGCAGTACTGTGTACCTCCTGCAAGGCCAAAGAGAGCGCCGTGGCGCGTTGCTCGGACTGCGCCAATTTCCTGTGCCCAAATTGCAACACGGCGCATCAGTTCATGCGCTGCTTCGAGCATCACAAAGTAGTTGCCTTTGAAGATTTGAAGCAATCCAACGAAGCTATCCCGATACACAAGCCGATATTCTGCGAGGCTCATCCCGCCGAGAATATGAAGTTCTACTGTCACACGTGCCAGGTAAGTGGACAATTGCCATAATTGTTTTTTCTAACTTTTATGCATGTGGACGCTTCAAAATAATCTCAAGAAAAATGTAAAATTGTAATATATGATGCATTTAACTCGACATTGCTTGAATACATTTTCTTTCGTGCGTAAAGAAAAAGAGTGAATTGGTTGCTGAACATTAAAGAACGGGATATTTTTAACGGGAGAAGAATAATTAATGTATCTTGGCTATATAAAAGAGTACTTTGGTATAATTTGCTTCTATATGTATCTGCATTGCGTGGAGCAATTATGTTAGTATTGTCGTGCCGTTAATGGAATTTTAAATGAAAAGTTGCAATTGTGTGATCAGGAACCTATTTGCAATGAGTGTCTGCTTGTGGAACACAAATCACCGCAGCATCAATACGAACGACTGATAGACGCGGAACCACTGCAGAAGAAGGAAATAATTAACCTGATGACTGAAAGTAAAACCAAAATTACGGAATGCGACCAGGTCACGGGACAGCTGGAGAATGCGCTTAGCGAGCTGCAAGTACAACATGATCAAGCGAAGGACTTGATTATGGAGACTTTTCAAAGTTACAAGGCCGTACTAGAGAAATGTAAAGACAACGCGCTAACCGAGCTTGAGAAATTGCATTCAAACAGAGAGCTTGAAATCATGGATGCTTTTCATAGGTATATATTTTAGAATTACGTATTTAATCATCGTTGCTTATGTCACTAAACTAAGATAACTTGAAAGAATGACAATATTTGTGCCGGGGAAAGAAGAGTATGCGCAGAATATATTTTGTAGCAATAACATTGGCAAAAGTAAACTTCTTGTCGATAGGGCGGCACACATTCGTTTTATAAAAATATTTCTGAACCTATTCCGCTATGTTTGAAATTTTTGTTGCAGTATTGAAAAGACTGCAGAGAAAAT